GGAAGAAGGAAGAGGGAAGGGCAGCACTGTGGCTCTGCAGGAGAGAGGAACCACAGAATAAGCTGAGTCTGAAAGAACCTCTGGAGGTCCCTGGTCCAAATCCCTGCTCAAAGCAGGTCCCATCAGATCAGGTGGCTCATGTCTGTATCAATCTGAGATCCGAGTATCTCCAAGGATGTACATCCCACAACCTACTTGAGTCCCTAGTCCAGCGATTGACCTTCCTTAGCATTAACTTTTTTTTTTTCCCTCAGAAATAAAAGATTTCTGAGGTGGAACTAGTCCTTTGCTTCTCATCCTAACCCTCCATAACCTTGAGCAGGGTCTGGCTCCATCTACCTTACTCCCAAGTTCAGATGTTGAAGACCAAGCAGGAGAGCAGGAGGTTGAAGGGGATCCAGACTGACCAGCCAGACACTCTCTACCTCCCCAGCCCAACACAGGGATGAGAGAAGGCGATGGATAAAAGGYAGAATGGGGTATATTTTCAGGGCCCTCCTCTGACTTCAGAAAGCACTTTTTTGGGGAAGACACAACTCAACTCTGTGCAGAGCTGGGCTAGTTCGAACCTGTGCAGAACTGATTCAGATGAACCCAATTTGTGTGAAGAGGCTTCATTTCAGGTAGGATTCTCTCAGTTCTACTTAACTCTACAAAAACAGATGAGACTGAGAGCTTATCCAGGAGAAAAGGCAGCATGTTAAAGCTAACACATGATATTCCTCCAGCTGAGAAGGGCCAGAAGATGGGAAACAACTTCAAAATTAACTATACAGACTGATAAGGGCAAGACCTGAGGTCTTCTGGATTAATCTCACACCATGGGCCATCTGCCAACATCACCATCAAGAGGACCTCTTGATGGTCCTCTTGTGGCAATYGCACAGGAGCTGACCAAGAGAAACACGGGTTTCATCTACACCACAGACTCAGCCAAAATGACCTCGTATTGCTGTTGGGTTAAGGAGCTAGGGAAAATGGCACGTTGCAAACAGCAAGAAAAATTGGGCGCCTGCCTTGTGAATAAAAAGCGAGTTACTAAAGCTGGAAAAAACAAGCCTGCGGTCCTTGCCTCTTGCTTCCCCCCAGCTGGGTTGCGTGGCGCAATGCAGCAGAAACAGCCCTTCCAATTGCAGCCTGCAACAAGGCAGCCCAGTGGGAAGTAGGAATTAGCAAATAACATTGCAGGGATCTTTCAAAGAGATGTATTCCTCCGATTAGTGCTCACGGGGAAGACGCTTTGCACAGAAGGTTGAGCTGAGCCCCTTTCTCTCATGCCAGCTTGCTTTCCGTCAGTGGTGTAGGCAAAGATAACAGTCCCTTCCTCGTGCTGGAGCAATGTGCAGCTTTGCAGGCAGAATCCTTGTCCTGTTTTTACTCACCTCTAAATCGCAAGCGGGGAGGAATTCCTCAGCTTGCCAAATTCTGTGGGGTTTGGATGGCGTCTGGTCTTTGCCTCTGGCACCTGAGCTGTGGTTTTCCCTCTGGGGGCTTGTCGTTGAGGTGCCCCATGTCCCTTCTGCATCCCAGGAAGGGCTCCAGCTTTCCTGTTGCTCTCTCTACACGTGGCTCATACACCGAGTTCAAGCTGAGGTGACAGCACAGGGCATTACGGGAGGCAGTACCTGGGCCGTGAACTTGGCACGTGCAGGGAAGGAAAGCCACAAAAGAGCTCATTTGTGGTCAACCTGGCCAGAAACCAACCCTTCCCCTCCAAAACAAAATCGATATATTCTACACCTATACATAAAAGTCATAGCTTTCCAGCAAAAGCTGTAGAAATCACTGTTTCCACCAAAAAAAAAAAAAAAAAAAAACACACAAAAAACCCATGAGTAAATATCATCTTACCCTCCCTGCAAACTCCAGGCATTCATTCTTCTCTCCCTATCCCTGCAATGTTCACTGACCATTTCTATCAACACAGTACTTAGAAGGCTTTCAGGGTTTGATCACCTATACAGCATCTCTTCTTCACAGCAGGAATAAGCTTTAATTATTGGTGTGTTTGTGCTTAATATGATTATTAAGTAGGAGAGCATGGGGGCACCAGTGTGCAGAAGAGTCCTTGATTTTTTGAACCTGGCCTCTTCAGAAGGATCTTGCTTCCAGGAGCTTCACTTCCCCGGAGTGTGGTGTGGGTTGTGCCCCTTGGGGCCCCATCGCGAGGAGCGTGGTGCAAGGAGAAGGAAGCAGAAGAGCTTTTCCTTCCAGTGCTGTTATCTCCCTGGCAACGTCTCTGTAAAGCAACAGAAGAAAAACAAATCTGTAAGTCAAGAAACACCCAAACCTCTAATCGTGAGGCAGCCCAACAAGAGTGCTGCTGTGGGACAGGAAACTTATATCACGTATCAAACACGAATTACGCAAAACAAAAGCAAATACAAGGGAACTCCTTGCATCTTGCTGCTGCTTCTTTTGCTGGCTGCTGTGGTCTCTCTTTTAAGACTGCCTGTACTTCCTAGAGGGTCAAGTCTTGCTCCCAGCTCCCCTGGTAGGTCAGATACTTCCCAAACCTGTGCACTCTTCTCCCTTCCTAACAGTTGCTATTAAATTTATACAGACCATGTTGTAAAGGATGCAGGAGTTTCTCTGCTTGGCCCTCAAGCAGATTAGTATATGGCTACGAGCAGCAAGCAAAGGATTATCCACCCCAAAAGCTCTCTGGAAGGCCCACAGACCAGGATCTAGTTGTGGAGAGGAAGACAGAGGCCTCATACGAATTCACTTTGGGAGACCAGTGAGCCCTCCTGTTCTCACCAGACACTGCCTTACTGCAAGAGCTGAAGAGATCTCTGCTCAGAAGAGATCTCTGCTCAGAAAACCCAGCAAGAAGAACAGGGGTGCCCTGCGCCAACGAGGCAGCCAACGTCAGGGCCCGAGTGTGACTGCCAGCCTGTGAAACATGGTCACACTGCTCCAGACAGACTATCTGCAATGCAGTGCAATAAAAGARTGACTTTGTGGCAGCCTGGGCTCTCTTGATGAGATGGTAGAGCGCGCTACGCGGGCAGTTTTCCCTTTAATGGAGGGCACTCCCTTGGAACAAGTGCTTGGCACCAGATGAGTGAGGAATGAGATGGCTCTAATCCCATAATTTAATTAGAGCTGCGTGGAACTGCCTAACGAAAAGGCCACTTCCTGAGCAGGCTGCAGCAGTGCTGGGTGTCTGGCTGCTCTCCCTGGGCAGGCAACCTGGAGCCTCCTGCTCCTAGTCTGCTGCAAAAAGGCAGCACAGTGTTTTTCCATCCCTGCTGTGTCTTAACTTTCCTCCACCTTGGGTTTTGCTATAAAMCTCAAAATCACAATTAACCAAAGYGGTCCTGGCACCTTTTCCTCACGTCATCCCAGGAGCAGGAATCTTGCCCTAAGTCTTCAGGAGCTCCCCAGCTTGCATGGGGATTTGGGGAGTACAAACAGCCCTCCAAATTATGAATTGGAGCCCCCCCTCCTCATACGCACTCCCATTGCAGGATCCTTGCTATGAGACAAGTCAAGACAACATGGGGTGGGCATCACTTGAAGCACAGTTGATCCTTCTCCTGCTAGCCACAATTTTGTTGCTAGAGACTACTGGTGCCCAGAAATGCCCCACACTCCTTGGCAACCCATCCATCTGAAGAGCTCCCATGCAAACCTCATGGGAATGCCTGGAAGGAAAGGATTGCACAACCCTGTGCCTCTGAAGAAGGGAAGAGCCTGGCTTATCACTTCAGCTCCATCTTGGGCAAAGCATACAAGTTAAGTCTGGCCTGAAATTTAAGTGGAATTGTCCAAGCACCAAGTTTTGGTCTGAGCCTTTCTGGTTTGACCCTGATCCAAGTGTGCCTGTGCCTGCAGCTCCAAGCAGCAGCTCAGGCAGCCACAAAGTTCCCCGGTGCACAAAAGCTCCACAAAACTCGCGTGTAGAAGCAAAAGCCCAGGCTGGCCAACAGCAAGATGCTTAATTAACAGTGACTGGCTCCACGCCACATGTCTCCCAGGCCCAAGCTTGCACCCGCCCCAGTAATTGCTGCCCTATTATGTTTTCAGGATGCTCCAAGGTGAAAGAGAGCTTTGTACAAGAGCCCAGGGCAAGGCTGGGATTCAGCAAGCAAGCTGGCAGCYGGTTGCTTCTGCACGTAACCCTGATGTGGGGAGAAAGGTGGGGTTGGGGGATCTTGTCCTGCTCCTCTCATATCCTCAGTGAGAACTCCTAACCCCCATGGGAGAAGGGGGCAGAAAGAAATCCTGGCAAGCCACTTTGCTCCCTGGCTATGGAGAGCTCCATGCCACAAGGGCATGTTGCTGTAGCCCAGTGACAACACATCAAACTGGGAATTGCGACTGCAAAAAAATATAGGTGTAATCCTGCTACTCAAAGGGAGAGCGGTCGGTGACAAAGTACTGTCCAAAGCCACGGTTTTATGGTCACGTGGTGGTCCCCATCCTAGCTCCAGCTGGCCATCTCCGTGGCCCTGAGGAAGGTCGTCTGCAGAGAGCTTCCTACACCACCTTCGGCTGAAGGAAATCCCCAGTGTTGGAGCATTTCCTGCCTCTTCATGTGGGTTTGAAGCTGCAGCAAGACCAAAGCCCTTGTATTTTCTCACWTATCTTACAACTTTTCTCTGAGCCCATATGTTCAACCCCATCGATAAGTCATCTGATAAGAGTCGCTGGGGCCCAGCCTCAGGGCAACATTTCCTTGGGCCTCCTTGGGGGATCCCACAGACATGTTCACCCAAGCACCAAGGCCCGAGCACCATCTGCCAGTGGTTAAACACCCCACCAGCCGAGGAATTCCCCATGAGGGAAAGCCTGCAGCTGGGGGAAGGATTGGAGTGGCTCTGGTATTCATTGTCTTCAGAGGAAGCCAAGTTTTCTACTTTAAAATAAAGCTGCCTTGACTTAGCTAAGGCCTCTCCAACCACACCAAACTGAGTGTTCCTGATCTTAGAAGCTAAGCGTGCCTGACCTGCCCAATGCATCTGTGGGAGATCCTCACACACTTGTGAGGATCCAACACAGTTGTGGCCACCCATCCTAGAGAGTTTATTCTCCCAAAGCCAGCACATAAGAGTAAGAAGAGAGCTTAACAATAGCCAGTTGCTAGTGCCAAACCCAGGCTTTACTGAGTTGAGTCTACAAAGCATCAGGTAGGACTTTGCCACAAGAAGGATTTTCTTAACAGTGAACTTGCACAGGTTGTGGTTTAACTCTGTAGAAATAGAAGCACGACAGGAAGTTCCCAGCACTGAAATCCCCACACTTACCGCCCTGCAAGCAAGTTTTGTTCCTAAGAACAACTTCTCTCTGCTTCCTCCCAAGGTCACAGTTGATGAGGCCTTTCTGGCTTTCCTAGCAGATCCACTTCCCCTAGACTCATCTGTGAATCCCCCTGCCAACTGCTGCATATTCCAGATATTGTCACATACTCGTTTCCTTGCGCTGTAWCCTCCCACCTGACCCAGACAGACTTCTTTTCTCCTTCCTTTGAACATAAGAGTTGTCAGCATATCCTAGCCAGGCCTGAGATGGTCCTTGGGTCCCTAGTGAAAGTAAGACAACAGTAAACACAGAGACCATGRCAGGTAGTTTCAATTCTGACTGACAGCTAGCCAAGGGAAACTCTCCACATCCTTCTTGGTACAAATCAAGCAGCAGAAGCAAGTACTTCAGCATTTCTAGCTATTAGCAACCCAAATGGCCAAGATTCAGGTTCCTGCCTTGCTATGAAGCATTCGACTACCATTGCTCAAGGTGCTAGATTTGCGGCTGTCCTAGAGGATGCAGCTGGACTGTGAGACTTCTTTGTTTGCACCATGTCCTGCATGAGAGGTTTTCCAGGGCATGGGTCCTCTCCTGAGGTGGTAGGTAAAGGGGACACCAATCCGCTTCTCTTTTCAGAAGGGAGGGAAGCCAAGTCAAGTCTGAGGCTTGTTGTAGTGATTCATCTTGGCCTAACACTCTTCCCCATATCCCCTTCTGCCCTCCACAGACATGATATGCAACAAAGTGAGGTGAAAGGAGTTCAGAAGAGGTTATGGACCAGCTGGATGCTCAGGAAACCAAGGTTTATTCCTCTGCTCTGCATCAGGCTTTGAATGAACCATGGGTGACTCAGTCCCTTTGAAACCTTGGGGATGTGGGTCTCTAAACTGCMTAAGAGGTAGAGGAGAGTTGGGCACTCACCTTTGCTTGTGGATCTTGAGATTGACCTTTAAGTATTGTCCTCTGGTGATGACAGGGATTTACCAGCTCTCCCCACTTGCCGTGGTGGGCAGTGGGGCTCATTCCTGGAGGCCAGCAATCATTTCCATAGCCCGCATTAGGCTGGAGACAGGCCTGGACTTGCAGTTGTTCAGCATCTGTGCCCGGGGAGAAGTTATCACTGTAATCAAGCCATGCATTTGGAGCCTGCCTCATCTAATCTTCAAGAAAGCTGAGGAGAAAGAGGGAAGAAAATCATCAGTAAAACAAAAGATATTTCTAAATAATTGTTTTCCTGCAACCATATTCCTAGCTAGCATCTGAAAATTTAAGTACATTCCACTCCCTTGTCATCCTAAAGTGCTTTTGGAGCTAAACAACAGCTTTTGGKGAGGTATACAGTGCTATCTTCCTCCAGCAGGAAATTGATACACAGGATTTCTTCCTTCCTTTTCTGTACGAGGGACAGTGCAGCTGTTTCTGGTGTTGATAAGGCAGAATTTACACCAGCTCGTGCTCAGATCTGGAACACATTCCCAGTCCGAGAGAGAAGCCAGACTAGCAAGTTGGCAGAGATGACTGTAGGAAGGGAACTCGCAGACCTGCGAGTCCAGCAGGGGAAGGGAAAAGACAGAAAAGGACAGATCACAGGAGGAGTGCAACGGGGAGGCAGAGGAATAAGGGCAGYTACGGATGGCCTAGCAAAACATGAGAGCCGCGGGAGAAAAATAGAGTCGGCAGAGGGAGCGTGTCAGAAGCCAAGTAAATCAGGCAGCGACACGGTAATTAGCCTGGCTCTCCAAACGGAAAGGTGTTTACATCAGCAGGGCTTTCCTCTGGCATAAATCAGGGACACAAGCAAGTGTTCGTACAGATGCCGTGCCTAGGGTGAGTGCTGCTAGCCAGGCTCCCGAACACACGGGCACAAAGATGGGCTACTCGGGGGCACGTTTAGACAACTCAGATCCAAGTGCCACAGATGTCCCGCATGACCTTGGCTAAGTCCCAGCTTAGCCTACCCAAAGCCTGGCTCATTTTCAGTGTGCCAGGGAGAGGCCACCCCAGAKGTGACTGCACAAGCAGGGCACTCTGCAGCACCTTCCCTCTGCTGCAGGAGCAACGGCTCGTCCAATAGCCTTAAATTGCAAACGTGCTGAGCCAGCCCACCGTGGCCGGTGCCAAGCAGATGAACAATCCTGTTTTTACGATCTGAAGGCTTGTGAGAAAGACTTTGGCCAGCATTTGTGGGGGTATTATTAGGCTTTATTCTTCAGTAGCACATCCAATCAGATGTCCACCTTCCCCCTCGCCACGTCTGACCTCAGGAAAGGCAGTTGCTTACTCAGGATGACTAAGCCACACAACCCAGATTTCCCCAAACCAGGAATGCACCCACACCATATTCTTTCTCCAAAGCAAGGAGCTAGGCTTTGGATTTTGCCAGCATTTCTTACCCCAACCCAAGGGCCTAGTGACCTAGGAATACCCACCACCRTAGTCATTCACTCTGTTTTACACCATTACAATTTTACMTTTTACAACAATACTCTAAAAATGAAGCACTACATGAGCATTTTATCTTATCTAACAGGGTAGAGAGGGACAGAGGTACCCCTAAATTAAGGTGCCCCACAGCAGGTCTCTCATCAACGGACACAAGGAAACAGGCACCTTGATTTTCAATGTTCTCCTCCTGATAAAACGTCCTCCACGAGCTGCTGAAAATACTTATTAATCAATGATGCTGACGCTGGGAAAGGGGCCAGGTAATATTTCAGATCTGCTGAGAGAACTGAGAGAATTCAGTTCCTCCCCTACTGAATTYGCACCTCAAAAATCACTGTCCTCCATGAGTTACTTCAAGCTAGAGATGAAAAAAAGGCAGCACAAGGTAAATAAAATACAGCTCATTAAAAAAAAAAAAAAAAACCCTCACCAACTTATAAAATCCCAATGTGATAGATGGAACCACTGACCATATCAAGGAAGCATTAAGGAAAATAACTACCCATATACACTCAGCTTGAATACCAGCTTGGTCTGATGTGCCTACCACAGACCCCAACCCTTCTGGCTGTGCGACAAACCTTCACAGCAAGTTGGCAGTGCTGCATTTTATGCCGTGCACAAACACCACACTTGGGAAGCGAAGCTTGTGAAAGACTGGGTTCAGCAGCAATTACTCTGAGCTGCTCTTCCACTGCCAGGACTTGGGCTACGATCATAAAGTCACTTTCCAGAGGTTATTGGAGAGTCAGAGAATGGTGAGAGCTTTTGGATGTAAAATGCAGGGAGACATTAGAGGCCCAGCGGCCCACTGACATGACACTGACATGACAGCACTATCTTTATTCAACTGCCACTTTTTACTTCCAGCAAGCCAGGCCCAACAAGCTGGTGGTGCTGCCTACAGCTTTTGAGTGGCCTTTCTTTTAAGCCTGGATTGGTCTCTCTGGGGAATTAGAGAGGGACAGAGAGGACAAGACTGCATTAAAGTGCTCTCCTTGCCCATACGAGCAACAAAAGAGCCAGGGTACATCTAGACTAGGCAGTATACACCGAATACAGGCAAGTCAGGAGCCACAGTCTGCAAGTTCACACTGTGTATCCTGCTGCAAAAGGGGAAGCCAGGAGGAGCTTACGTAGGACTCAGCTAAAAGTGGCTACACGCATGACACAAGAAGGAGGCTTCTGGCCCGTAACAGGAGACCAAGTGACTTAGTTGTGGTGGGTGGGGGTATGAGAGAAGGGGATGTGGTTAGGGAACAGGGCATGAATCACCAGGGAAGCACATACGTTGATAACAGCTGGATAAACTCAAGACATAACGTCTGCTCAGGGGTMAATCCAGGCTGCACTAGAAGCGAAAAACCAGTAGACAGCAAGCCCAAGGGCCAGAGCAAAGGAAAGCTGCAAGTGCCCAGCACAGGCTTTTCCTACCTGTTATTCTGACTGGGGCTTCAGGAGGAACATCCTACAATCAGCACGGAGCTGACGTAGTGTTGGCCATGTTCATGTTTCAAAATCATCTTCCCCTTCCCCCAGGGGCTGTGCATCATCTGCATGGGAGCTGGAGGGACATGGGCACTAGAAAATGAGGGATCCAAAAATTCACCATTGCTGCGATATAGGCCCTCTTCCCTACCCTAAGCAACATCTACCTTCCAAGGCAGAATAAGGTACCTTATAACTGCCAAACATCTCAGGAAAGAACACTGTGGGACGAAAAGCTATTCCCATCCAGCAAGRTGGTTGTATTCACGTAAACACATGTGCTAGGGCATACTGCATGGCCTATGGACCTCCTTCTGAAGTCAAGATGGTTTTCARCTGTTACCTGACGTAGGTTGGAGTCAGCCTTGCTCACAGAGTTCAGCTGAGACCTCTCCATCACGGTCTTGTAATCTCACAGTCCTRTGAGGGATTGTCCTCCAACCTCTCCCATCTGACCATGCACAATCTCTAGAGGGTCTTGCACACTCCTCTTTGAAGAGCTGGTTTTCTACAAGAATTCTGTGCATTCTCTTGGGCAGGAGACAGAAGTGCACCTCTGACCTAGTGCAAGCCGAGGGACTGGCTGGAAATCTGCTACCTCCTCTCCCTCATGACTCTCAAAAGCTCAAGATAAGGCCYGAGATCCCCTTGAAAGAAACAGCCACAAGAGTGGATTGAGTGGTCAGTGCTGAAAGCGCCTGGAGAGAAATGGAGTGAAAAGAGGAAATGTGCAAATGACTCAGACAACCCCCACCCTCCTGCTGAGATCATGAATGTTCAGCCTAGTTGCTCTTCTGCTGAACTTCTCCAGCAACTGAGAGCAGATCTGCTACCRCTCTCTGGAAAGGTGCGAATGAACCTCGCTTACCAGAGTGAATCACACACAGGATGCGAGCAGCCGGCCCGCCCAAAGCGCTGGATACTTTCCTGAGTGAGTCAGTTCAAGTTTGCTTCTCTACAATTTCCATTCTGCATTTCAGGTGAGAACACGTGGCTGCTCCCAGCCGCATTCCCACCTTCTCTGTCAAGCCATTTCCAAGGAATTGCCCCACTGCTCCTTTGGCCCTTGGGCTGCCTTTGAAAAAAAGAGAGAGAAGGGAGAGTTTTGCACTGAAAGACCCTATAAATTGAACTTTGCAGACTTCTTCATATTTCTGCAAGCCAGGATACTCATATAAGCAAACCTTTAAGGAGAAGCTGGAAAAGACAACTGATTTACATGTTTTAGAAATGCACTGGAATAAGTGGGCTTCATTTCTTGCTGTTCTGAGTTTCTTCTTTTTTAAAAAAAGAAAGGATATTCAACTTGCTTCCTGTATTTTAGTAAGGCTAGAAACATGTTGCTTAGAATAGCAGAAGACATCTACAGCATGCAAGGTAAGAAACCATTCCCTCTCCCCATCAGGCAGTCACTTGCCCACTGTAGGTCTTGTGAAATACAAATGGGAAACAGAAGGGCCTTGGAGAAGACAGCTCATTCTGTTATTCCAAAGGAAATGGAGGAGGTTAGCAAGAGGAAAGAAGAGGGTGCAGAGGGATGCAGCAGAGCCCAGTGCCATGTTCTGGAAGGCTGGGGTGCTGTGATCACCAGGCCACCTCTGTGTCCAGGCAGAAGGGGAATGAAGTCTTAGAGATGCCAAAGCACCATGCTTGCCTATGGGAGATTTTTAAAGGCTAGGATTGGGAAAGAAATGGAATAACAAGAGATCAAAGCCTATGGGTTGTTTCTGCTACTGTTTAGCTCTGTTTACTGCTGGTCTGCTGCTGTTTAGCAGACCAGCACCTGGGGCAATGGTCAACAGCCTTGGGTCCTGAGACCATGCACGGTTTCAACCATATCTCACCATTGGCCAGAGCTTCTGAATCACAAAGAGCTCAGTTCAGCCTAGGAGGACAAGCACAGCAAGGGGATGGTGACTGTACAGCTCATCCCAGTAAGAAACAACACTGATCCACACTCATCACAGCACCAGGGAGAGGTGTCCTTCCAAGATAAGGTAGAAATACTGCTAGCTAAATCAGGCGCCCAGACAAATTTGCAGTGACTGTTTTGCTCTGTTGATATCTCCCCTGCAGCTCTGCTAAACAGCTCCAGCATCTGCCACAGCCATTTGACTTGGGATAGTGTCACTGAAGAGTAGTGCCTGCCAGAGCATTTCTGCACTGCRGGAACCCAGAAACAAGCTATAAAACACCAGGCCACAGAAGGACGTATCAGATTGATCCCAGAGCTGCTGACGCATCTCTGCCAGTGATATGCTCCAGTGCACGTGTTCGCTAAAAAGACAAAAACCCAAGCCTCTAAACCTAGCTACAAAATCCCAGAGACACTGGGGGCTTTGCTCAGCCCTCCGTGCCCTGCTGTGTCCGCAGGCCGGGAAGGCCACGGAGGAGTGTGAGCAGGGGCCGGGAATGGGCCCTTCGTAATGCATTAGTCACCGCAGTGCAGAGGAAGCACGGTCGGCGGCCAGTGCTCAGCATGAAATTGGGTCTCCTCATCCTAATCCCCACTGTCCCGCAGACACTGTCTGGCTCCCAACTCGCCCAGCACCCAGGCCCATGCCTAAAAGCTCCCCACAAACGCACAGACCCTGGCCCAGGAGCAGGGTCAGCTTCAGCTTATCCAATTAGCTAGGCATGCATTCATTTCCTGCCTTCCCAGTCACTATTTAGAGGCATGGTCTGATTGCTCGGGCCAGTTCCAAAGGGAGACGATGACAGCTGACTCRCAGGAGAGGTTTTACAGTCACAAGCCTCTGTTTTTTTTTCTTTTCTTTTTTTTTTTCCAGCTAGCTCCCTTGCACTAAGAGACATCCCATACAGTGAAGAAATGACAGAGAGTTGTGTTAACAAAGCACAAGATAAAGGGCAAAGTAAACCCTCATCTCAGATCAGGGGAGAGATGCCTGTCTGCAAAAGGCAACTTCAGTCCTCCATCACCTTGCGGTCTCCTCCTTAGTGACTTAACACAGACAGGCCCTGCTCCTGCCAACAGCTCTKCTGCACCCTGGACCCAAGTTTCATACTAACAGAGGGCCACTTTCCTGCTCTATCAGGGATTTAGGGAACATGACTGCATGGGAAAAGGGAATACTGTTGCTGTTGTTCACAGTGCCAGGATGAGGAAGGATCCAGCTGTGGATGGGAAAACTGCAGGAGCTGCTTTTTGGCAAAATACAAAGCTGTAGATGTTGCAGCTATGGAAAACTGGGGAAAAGAAACATATCCAGGTCAAAGTGGGGCAGGCCTACCCCTTCCCTGTTGTCACACTAATCTTGCAGTGGATGGTAGGAGCACAGATCATCAAATATGTCCCAAAACTCCTACGGTAATGCCTGTCACTTTACAGCAAAATCCATTTTATTTTTGAGTTATAATCACCCGGAGCAGAGTTGTTGAAGGAAATCACCACTTTTATTCCAGACCTGCACCTGGAACAGAACAAACGTCCATACACCAAGTCTGAGATTGCCTACAAAAGCTATCAAAGCTGGTTGATGAGCCAAGATTCAAGGATACAGCTGTTCAGAGGAGAGGACACAGTGGCATTATCTCCTCACGTGCCTGGGACTACCAAAGAGGCACCCACAGCTGGGAGATGGCATGAAAAACATTCAAAGAACTCCTCACAAAACGTCAGCTTTCACCTAATGCCTGAGCTTCTGGGTAAAATCTGACCACCTTTGTACAGCTCTTTCCTCCCAGGCACTGAATCCATGCTCTTCCTTGCTAGGCATTTTTTTGTGGTGCCTCATGCACCTTAAGACAAGGCTGCATAAAATTTATGATCTGCTGAGTGTATCACTCCTCTGTCCATCCATGGCAAACTACATGCCTGTTTTCTATTTGTGTTCTGGAAGCTTTGCTCCTGAGCAATCAACATGAGCCTTAGATCAGCGCTCTACTTAGCCACGTGTCCTGTACAACTGAGATCACTCACTTGCTTTGAAGAGAAGGTCTTAGTAAACTTTTTTTTCTAAAATCTACATCAGAGCAAGAGACAGAGTGTAACATATTCCTCTCAAGGTTCTTCCTTTTCCTAAATGTCCCAGAGCAGTAAGAGTGAAAAGCTCCCAGCAATGCCTGTTGTTACTACCAGTGTATGAATTATTCCTCATTTAGCCTCATACAGGTCAATCAGTGTGCATATCAGCTGACAGCCAGAAATCCCATGAGCTTTTTGTGAAAAAAAACATGAGTTGCTTTAGCCCTTCAGTGCCTAGAGGCTACCAGGAGTTCACCATCACATTCTCACCCTGCTTGGATGTGCTACTTGCCTGCACAGGCCAGCTGCACTGTTCTGCTAACACTGCTTATGAGTTGGGCTTAAGAGGTCCAGACCAGCTAGGGAGAACTGCTCCCTGTACACCTCTCAGGCACAAAGGCACATCCAGCTAGGATCATCCCTCCAGGCAAACTTAGTTTTCCACTTGAAGGGAAGGGTTCCACCATCTTTCATCTTCCCAAGTCAACTGTCTGCTTGACCTGTTCCTGAAACCTTCCCTGGTTCTGGCATCTTTAAAAACTACTCTGTCCCCAGGACAAACACAGTAGAGATGTAGATGTGATGGGCTGGATGCTCACTGGGTGCAAGCCAGGGAGCACAGCTGGCAGAGATGCACAATGAAGATTTAAAGCTTGGTCTAGTCGGCCACATTCCCCACTTTGTGTGTTCCCTCAGAGATGCAGTTCCCTGGTAAATCAATAACCACTACAGGTGAACACAGGCTCACATCGGAAGTTCAATTTGGGTAAAGGAAGCTTGATTACTCGGAAGAATAATCACATTAAAGGGAGCACACCGGGGCTGAATTACTTTATGTCAAGCCTTTATTTGCCAATGTGTACTATAAATGAATATTTGATTATGTTAACAGCCCCAGTGGAAAAAGAGATTTACATTACAGCCTTTTCGCTGAATACAATATCCAGTGATGCCTGTAAGCTGCAAAAAATAGATCATCCTTACAACCACTGAGAAACAACAGAAACCATGATTGCTCTTCATGGGTCCTCAGTAGGGATTTAGTTTTACAGAGAAAAGTCTTTATAGACTCATTTGCTAATGCCTGCCCAGAGGGGGTTCAAAAACACACAAAGGGTGTCACTGCTTGCTGTTAACACCTTAGTTGCTGCACAGAGAGCTCTAAAGATGTGCCAAAGAGTAATGCCAGTGAGGACATCTTGTTTCAGGGTAGATCAGACTCCCTGAAAAGCCAAGATTTCTCTTGTTTATTCTGCTAGGCSCAAAGAGTCCATTGCTTTGATACAGAAAGTCATCTGTACTCAAAACTTGGCTGGCATCTGGAAAGAGGCCTATGCCCAGGCAAGTTCTGGGCTAGGTTCAGAAAGTCCCACAGGGCAGAGGGGCTTGCAAAGCCAAAGTACACAGTTCCCAAGCAAGCAACCTGCTGAGAGTTCACTCTCTCCCTGTTTCGTTTCACCTCCCCTCAAAGGCAGAGTGATACAGTTGAGCAGCCCCRAGACTAAACCTCCTATGGAGAGCAATTCGACTGGTGCAGCAATACCAGAACATCAGACCACTAATTCACTTGCTTCTGGCACTGAGAGCACTCGCACGCAGGGTTACACCAGTTAGTAACTCCAATATTAAATTATTCCACAAAAGCCACATGGGATCATTTCCTTGCCTAGACAGCCTTACTGGTGTTCCTGTGTGGCAAGTGGGAAGGCAGCTAACAGAGAGTTTACAGACTAGAAAGGATGGAAGTGGAGCCAGCTAAGATTGCTAGAGGAGATACACACACATGCACACATACAAGCACACACTTGCAAGTATGGATGTCACAACGGCAAAATTAAAATATCAAGATGCAGTTTTCTCTTTCTTGCCAATTTTTAGCTTGCCCCAGGCCCTACTGAATGCATTTACATTATAACAGTAGCTTTTCTGGGTGAGAATAGCTGTACACAGCACAGCACTTTCATGGCAACATGAATAGCCTCACCAGGAGGACAGAAAAGGGACTATATTCCCTTTGAGCATCAATATTACATGTATAGCAAGAGTAACACCAAATGGCTACAGGAGAAG